AAAAGGTCATTGGCAAAATGCAGGTTTGGGAATATTCATCATTTGGAGATACAGATAGAATGTTCACCTGCAGCATATTCATGAGATGGGCCTGTTGTCTCTCGAGCAGCAACAGCTGTTTCTGGATAGCCATCCAGTTTCCTTTGTTGTTCATAAATCCCTCCGGTTGTCTGTGAGTTCTCGAAAAATCTGGATAAGCATTTGAAGTGTCTCGGTTATTATAATCACCTATATCTCGTCTCTCCCTGCTTCCCTGTCTCGTTCTGGAGGCTCCATCATCAGCCTGGCAGTTAATCCCGGACCCATTTTGATCTGCATTTGATTGCAACTCCTCATTTTGAGGGTTTGAAGGATTGGCGGATCGACGAGGAAGAACCACTTCTACAGGTAAATCATCCGAAACTCTGGTTTCAAGTTTCTGAAAGAACTCGGGATTCAATTCCTTGTCTGTTAGTCCTGGTGCCTTCTTCTTTAGGATCCCGACTGCCTTGTCCAAAATGTTGTTGCCTTTGGCGATTGAATTAGAATCAGTCGGAGACGAGCCATGGGGTGAATCATTCACTGATTTTGCACTTTCTCTATCACCAGAACTGAGGTCTTTTCGGTTGGATGGGTCACCAGATTCAGAATTATCGCCATCTGAAGGGTTAACCAATATAAGATGAAGCAAGTGGGAAGGAATGAACTGAAAATTTCTATTGCACATGAGTTGACAAGGATTTATTTCTTTTAATAAATGCTTACAATGAAATGAAGCTTTATTTTCATCTGAAGATCCATCTCCTTTGCCACAAAGTTTCTTCCATGTTTGCAAAGCCTCAGTCATACTCTCCCTAACTGGTTTTACCTGGAACATGTTAACATAAAACAAAAAATTATGAGCAATTAATTATCCTTAAAACTAAGTCCACTCTTCTAATAAATCTAAATTTCCAGTTTATTTGACATACGATGCATAGCAATGATTCACAAGAGTAAATGCAAAATGCGTTTTTGACCTTCAAACCATTCAAAGAGTCACACTCGAGTTGATTTAACACATAAAAAATAAGAAGTATATAGTGAACCAATCACCAACAAATATTGATGCAGATGGGAAACAAAGGAAAATGGAAAACGCAACATCGTAGCTTTAGTACAAATCCCAGTCTAGTACTCAGACCTTAGCAGTACAAAGAGAAAAGAAATAATCAATTTAACCAGAATTATTGACCTGAGATTAGCAGCACAGAACAAATTAAGAAATTTTTAAACTATCAAAACCCGGTACGTTAATCCTAATTTACATGCTAAATCGTCAGACTCCATTTCAACATAATCAAGTACTTAGAAGTAGTAACCAAATGTACGAACTAAGGTCATTTAAGTACCCGATCAGATTCCACGACGACAAAATTCAGACCAATAAACCGGAAAAGCAGCATTAAAACTATAGAAAACTAAGCACAGCAAGTTTGTGGACCGGCTTCACAAATTCATAAAATTTAGGGAGAAATATGTTAAAAGGGTTTTTAAGTGGATGTTATTCCAATACCTACCTTGTCAAATCGACTAGCCTCAAGTGCGTTCAAAGTGGAAACAGCTACTTCTGCAGTTATGTTGCCAGAGTTTGAAGATATGACAATTAATGTGTCGGCAGCAGCTTTCCTTGTCGCCCAATCTGCACTGCTAAGACATCCGTGAATACTCTGAAGTAATGGTTCCAAACTGTGTTGTGAAATTGCTCCTACCTGAAACAGCGCATACAACATCATGTAAATCTTTAAGGCGTTAAAAAGAAATTAAAAAATAAACACTTAAAACAGAAAACTATGTTCGGCTCACAGAGAAGCTTTCTTCTCTTGTCTAGTTTGTTGAAAGTAGCATAACAAAGCTTTCGCTCTTCGGAATGTAAAGTAGTGCTACTCAAATTTTTAGCAACCTAAGTTTGGTCATGCAAAATCAATTGGCAATGATTTATAAATACTTCTCCACACTATCAATTTGTCATTGCTTGACAAATCTTAAACCACACCAATCAAGATTCAAAGAATATTGCTTTGTGAAAGACGAACAGTAAAGCGTACAACTTCAAAGCTGAATATAATGCAAAATGCTACCAAAGTCAAACTCAGACGTTAAATGACTATCATAAAGCCTCTATCTGTACTGTACAAACCTGGGACAAACTAGACACGACTTGCAAAAGAGAAGCCTTGGCCGTGAAATTCGTACTATTGAGATACTTGCAGACCCTCGTACAGAGCTTCTGGAAAATATTCAACGGCGGGTCAGAGGCGCACTCCACCATCTTGGCCAGGCACAAGGCGGCCCCGCCCTGGGCGGCCTTGTTGTTCTCGCTCATC